CCCGGAGCTCGCCCTCCGGCAGGTAAACAAGGCGCCCTCGGCCTGACACACGCCCGCCTGCCTGAGCCGCCCCCCGCCTCTCTGCGAGTAGAATGTTCGTAAGAATCGACCGCCAGGGTGGAGCGCGATCTCGCGTTGTAGTTCGCCCTTCCATGGCAGTCGGGGTGGCCGGTGTGTGTGTGTGTGTTTTTCTCCAAAAGTGTACCCTTGGATGACCGGCACAATCTCTCAACTGACCCATACCACCCTGACGTCTATGTTACATCCCTCTTACATCCCGCCCCCCCCCTGTGCTGGTGCGTCACCGACCGCCGCTCCGTGGGTCTGCAGCCCTCCTTTGGACTTCCAGAGCCGCGGCCGGGGGCTTTTTTTTTTCTTCTTTGCAGAAATGTGTCCACGAAAGGACAAACTTGCCGCAGCCCCCTGCTTTCTGTTGAGGGATGGCGAGGCATTCCCCTCCAAACGGCCTCCTGCTGCCCCTGCCTCCGTGGTCCGTCCGCCTGGCTACGCGATCCTCCTCTCCCCCCTCCCTCCCCCTCCCTCTGCCTCTCTTTCGGTCTTTCTCTCGCCCGCCTGTCCGCCTGCCCGTCCGTCCGTCCGTCCGTCCGTGCTCCCCGCCCCCCCCCCCCCCCCCGCCCCCCCCCCCCCCTCGCCCCCCCCCCGCCCTCGCCGCCCTCCCCCCCCCCCCCCCCCCCCCCCCCCCTTCCCCCCCTTCCGTCCCTCCCCCCCCCCCCCTCCCCCCCCCCCCCCCCCCCCCCCCCCCCTCCCCCCCCCCCCCCCCCCCCCCCCCCCCCCCCCTGTGAGCAGCCAGCTCTTGGAGAAGGTCTCGCATTTTGAGGCTCGGCTTGCCACGGCCCCCCTTCGCTTCTCGCCAAAGTAGAAGTTGCCTGTCTTCTTCGTTGCCTCCACCATCACCACCGCCGCTCCCCAGTCCTCTTGCTCCTCCCGGCAGAAGGCAAGGCGCGATGTCCCGTCGGGTCCGAATCCCGCCGCAGTCCACGCCGATGAATCTTGTGTCGGCATCCCGGCGGTCGGCGCGCGAGATGCTCATCCCGTTCGAGAACACCCGGCGGACATCCTACGTCAAGCGCGTCAACGGGGCCGCACGCAAGTTCAGCGATCTGCGCTGCATCACCGGCGTCCAGGCGTTTGGCTTCTTTGCGGATCCCCATTCCGGGCACCACCGGATGACTTTCACCGATGCCCTGCACCAGCACATGGCCGACCTGCATCTGTCCCTGATCACGATTGCCTGCGAGCGGGAGTCCTCCTGCTACATCTATCCGAACTTGTGCGGCGATGATGTGCGTCACTGCCGCCTCTTATTTTCGCCGAATGGCATCCAACCGGGCACGCACGCACGCACGCACGCACGCACGCACGCACGCACGCACGCACGCA